GCAGTTAAACCCGTCCAAAGCTATCTGCCTGGCTATGTCGGGCAAGGGCTTCTTCTCGAGCCCCTCGGCTATCATGGGCTCCAAGTGTGAGGCCCAGTTCGCGCAGGCGAGTTTTACTCGTTTTCCGGTTGCCTCATCGACTATCCATCTCGAACTGGTCGACAGGTTGACCGCATTGCAAAATGCCGAGATTTGCAGGAAAAGGAAGAGGAGAATAGATTTGGTCTTTGTGGCGGCTTCCATTTTTCTTGAGGAGATTTTTTTGTTCATGCACCTAAGTGATTCTAGTATATGTATAAATAGGTTTAGTTACAACTTTATCAGAAATAAAAGATAAAGAGTTGTTGTTATCTTGGTTTAGTGTTCTAGAAGAAATCTCTTACAACTGGATATATATATTATTGCTATTGTTTGAACTTTGAACTTATTTTTCTTCCACAAAGACAGTTATATTCTTCAACAATTATTACGCAAACTAACATGAACTCAACTCAGTGGACCTATTCATTTTCGGAGACCTATTATTTATGGAATTTATCTAGCTACCCCCGGAAAAGTTGGAGAATCAGAAAGTCAAAGAAATATTATGAAAGATAAAATGGTACAAGTTTGACATAACATATACGATGTGGACTTATATAATGGTTTATTTTATTTTAAAGACACTGGTTTACATCGTATATGTTATCTAGCTACATCGTATATGTTATCCTAATAGGTATCCTAATAGGTATTCTAAATATCTTCGAGAGATATAAAATTTGGGGAGATGCTACGGTCTCGTTGCGAAACCATTCCGTCGATGTTTGTAACCGTTAGATCAACTATCTCCAACAATTACATGATGACCAAACGATTACAAATTCTGACAGAATTGTTCCCTAACGAGACCCTAGTATTTCCCTACAAAACTTGTATCTAACACTAATAACATAAGGTCAGTGCCTTTTGTACTATTGCTTGAATTATAACCTCGTGGTCTTGTTCACACTTTTTTATATGAACAAATATTTGGTAGTCACTAATTTCTTCTCCCACCTCTGTATTTTAGAAAAAATAACCATTGAATTAAATTAAATTTTCGTTCGATTCTGAAAATTTTTAAAGAAAAAAGCCATTGACAAAATTATTGTAGGAATAGTTAAAACCCAATGAAAATATTAAACCAAAATCAAATCAACAGGGAGTAATTTATATATTTATTAATAAAAAAATAATAAGTGGACAAAAAACAACAAAAAAAGAGGGTAATGGACCAACATAAAAAGCACGTATTTACAAAATACGTTTTCTGTATATTTTAATCAAAAAACGTATTCACTAAATACATTTTGCACATTTTTTTTACAAAAGAAAACGTATTCACGGAATACGTTTTACAATTAAAAAATGTAGAAAATGTATTTGTAAAATACGTCCTTTTTATTTCTCTTCACTCCCCCTTTTTCTTTTCTTTTTTTGTCTTCAACTTAACATTTGATTTTTTTTGTAAAAAAATCAATCAACGGGACTATTTTAGAATTTCTTTCTGTTAGAATTAATCCATTAAAAAAGAAATCAACAAATATTTTAATCCATTGTTTTGTGGCCATTAAAAAAGAAATCAACAAATACCCTTTCTTTTTAAATAACTATATATATTGATTTGTTGTGGTGGCCATTGTTTGTGTGGTTTGTTTGTGTTAGATGGATCGAGTCATCATTATACTTCTTCAATAAAAAGTATATATTTATGTTGTTAAAAGTATTTATATTTTTTTAAAGTATGACATGATTTTAGTATGAAAATATGCATATTCATTGAGCAAATATAAGTTATTCAACTGATTAATATGCTTTGCAATAATATTCCTACGAAGTCAATATAAACACTTGCATCAAAATAATATAAATATGATTGGCCTGGAGAGGGTAATAGGATGAGAAACATGCCTTGGTTTTAACTTGATAGCTCCGACGGCTTATACATAGTTTAATCCTCAATCAAAAATATATTAATGCACTGCATATTTATAATGAATATTTTTTTTTACAACTTTTCAACACCACATTTTAATCAAATACACAAGTTAAAGCATCTTTTATATATATGGTTGTCTCCCAAACTCCTTAAAATTAAATGCCATTAATAAATGGTGAGTTTTATTAAATACTGTTATGTAACCCCATTGTAACATAAATATGAATTCCATTAGTTACAGAAAATGATGACATTAATTAGATTCAAGGAAGAACAAATCTTTTGAATTAATAATGGAAAAAAAAAATTATATTGTGTCCCAAATTAATATTTGGAAAATATTGTCCTTTTTCCTCTAAAAAAAATGCAAGACAACACACTTGGAATTTACATAGTAAATCCAAACAACACCTGGTCAAATCTTCATTAATACTCATGCTAATTATCTGAATTCTCTATATATATGCCTTTAGGAAAATACTACCGTCTCGTAACGAAATGGTTCTTTTATTATTTCAACCAATTAAATTACATCATGTGTGTGGTTAATATACAACTTCAATGCATCAAAAGGCCAGCAATTAATTATGAATATCCAACCATCTAACATAAAGGAACGGAATCATACTGTAGCCATCCTTATGCTTTATTCCACCATGGTACCAACCAAATAAATAAAATAAAAATAAATATGCCCTGTTTCTTTCTTCCAAAGGCACATTGTGTCAATTTGTTTCAATATTGCATGCACCCTAACACTACACATTGGTAGGCACAAACTTGAACCACTGCACTTGTGGATTGTCAGCGCACGTAGGAAGATCGACAAGATCGTCCCCAACGCAAAGACACTTGTTGCCCACAAGAGTCGAGTTCGAACCATCCAAGCACACATAGCTCCCCTGTCCCTTTTGGGCCGCCAAATGAAGGCCCGAGCTCGACACGAACTTCCACTTGCTTGAACAGTCATTAGATACTTTAATGGTTGGGCCAGCCACCAGACATTGTGGGCTTCCCGCCACCTTGATTGGGCCCCCGTCTTGAAGTTGGTCCCATCGAGCCGCGTCTTTGCAGTTTGCTAGGAGAACATTATTGGCATCTCCAATTTGCACGCACTGCCCACTCTGTGGGTGGAACATTATGTACGAGGTTGGACGGGCTGAATTCGAACCTTCATAGTTTGACAATAATTAATTCAATTCAAGGATATTTTTCAGGCAAATTAATTGAAGAACTATTACCTTGATTCATTTGTCTCATAATCTGCAACCTGTCCACAAAGCCCGGATTCCTCGGACGATCCCAGTTAAGATCCATAATTCCATAAACTTCTTCCAAATTACGCTTCCCTTCTCTAAGAATGTAGCTTCCCTGAAAAGTCCATAATGCCCAATCGAGGTCTTTCTCGGCCACCTCAGCCAGCAAGCAGCTTATGTACCTGTTTTCGGCCTCTTTTTGACCTCTTTGGTCAATGCCGAACTCACTCAGGAAAAGTGGAAACGGGTTGTCTCCGGACGTTAAAAAGAGATGATTATCACGGGCCGTTTTGGTCACTCTCGCGCATAAGCTGTTCGTTTGAGTTGTCCATTGGTCGTCAGGGATGCCGAACGTGTACCAGTGAGCTTCGAAGACTAATTTGTCGTTGAACTTCACATCTATTGGCTTGTTCTTTAAGAAGCCGAGGTTTGTGTCGAATGACAGACCCGAGACTATGACGAGAAAGTCGGGATTTTCCGTGTGGATCGTGTTGGCGCCGGCCTGCATGTATTTGTACCAGTCGGCCTCGTTTTGCCGGCTACCGCGCAGCTCATTCCTCATGCTCATGCCCACAACCTGCAGTAAGACAATTAGAAAACATATATTATAATCAAATGTTGGAAAAAATATTATGTAATTATAGAATTAAAATTTTCTTTATTGGTGAAAATCGGCGGCACGATACGAGACAAATGACACGTTAATTCACCACTCCTAATCTTCTAATTACATTATAAACTCCGTATGTTACTACCCGATTAAGGCCTTACCAATTGAACTCACAAATTATTATGTCTAACAATATTAAAGCGATCGAGTTTGACTCATCATAGTATGCAAACATATATATATTTAATAATATATATATATATATATAAATTATTAAATATCATACTTTTATTTATATATTTTTTAATAAAAATATGTATATTATTATTAAAGAAAAACTTGTGTTGGATTACTGGTTAAGTCGGCTCAAATGGAGCTACGTAATTGACTTATTATATATATATATATATATATAATCTTCAAAGAATTTCACACTTTTTTTTTTAAAAATAATTTAATATTAGACTCAATTAATTACTAACCTCGTAACTTTCAGAATCACCACTTTACCTACCACCTACAAACCTAATAAATACACATCGATCCACTCGTACCATACTACCCTTGCACGTATTAATCTAGAGTCAATACTCATTTATTCTACAGCTCTTTTCCAACAAATATTCTTAACATTATTAAGAAAAAAAAAAAAAAA